AAGCTTTCTTTCTGAAACGGGTTGTTGTATGATAACTTCACCCCTAATGTTTTGACTTTATTCTCGTAATTTAAAGAATTTATTCTCAAAATAAAAAAATTAAAACATTTCTAGCCTTAATACTCTAATGCCCTATTTATACATGTGACTTAAGCTTGAGTTAAATGACTTTAAAAACTGGCCAAACAAGCTGGTAATTAAAAATGTTTACTTAATTTTGTTTGTGATGTTTTTTTGGTTTTTTTTTTATCAAATCACCTTAAAAGTAAGATTTGATGTAATCTTTAATAAAAGTTCATCAAATTAAAATACAGGGATATTGTTGTTAAAATAATCACCCTAATCCGCACGTTCTCAGCTCTTTTTCTCATCTTCCCTCTTTTTTTTTTTCCTCCTGTCCTCCATCATTGCGGTTCTAGTTCTGTTATGAAGCGTTTCCTGCTTCTGCGTTTCCTGCCGCTCTCTGAGCGTTTTCTTCACACGCCGTAACGTCTGCGGCGCTGCTCTGACCCGTGCAGCTCGCTCAGCAGGCTAATCCAGGGCTCATTGTGTAAATGTCCAAACGATGGGAACTAATGGCAGGTCAGCTAAAGTGTGGGAAGTGTTGTGTGGATCCTAACCGTTTGTCTCCTCTTACAGCGGAGCCCCTCCCCCTCATGGATCTGTGCAGACGGGTGGCTCGGCTCGCCCTGGGCCGGGAACGCATCCATCACATCGAGGAGCTTCCACTGCCGCAGACCCTGAAAAACTACCTCCAGTACCAGTGACTGCTCCCCTTCATACGCCCAGATCACAGCCGGACTCCTCCCACCCTGAAACGGGGGAGTAGGGGTGCAGTTAGCGGGGGATTGTTTACACCTTTTAGGAAGTTTTTAGTTTGACAGTTTTAAATCGGTTTATTGGTTCCGTTCTCTGCTTTCAGACATTTTTTTTTAAAGGATTTATTGTTTAGCGTCACGCCGTCCAGTCAGAGGCCTTAGCACCGCTCTGCTCCACTTCTACAGACGATGAAAACGCAACCGTTCCTGTGAGCTGCAGGAGGGAGAGCCAATCCCGCCATGCATACCATGTGCTTTTTTTTTTTCTTTTTTTTTTAGCGCACACAGATCCCGTTTACAGTGTATGGAAACACTGTCTGTAGCAAAAGCACAGCGGCGAAGAAAGCAGCAGTTTGAATGTTTGAAATCTGTCTCCATGCATCTCAATCATTTCCTCCACTCTGAGTTTTTCTTCTGTGGAGATATTTGAACTGGAAGGACCGCAGGCTGCAGTCATCCTGCGGCGTCTTCTTCAGCTGCTGATGATAGGAAGCATCCCGATAGGAAACGCAGAACGTTCAGTCACATCAGAGTTAAAAATGCTGCTGCTTCTTTTTCTCTTTTTTTTTTCTTTACTCATTTATTTTTTTTATTATTGATTTAAAGTTCTTTTTTTAATGAAATGTCTGCTGGCATATCTCGCATGCATAGGTTTGAAGAATGTGCTGCCATGAAAATCTTTTAAAATGTGAATTAAAAATAAACTGCTAAACAAACGGTGGCTCTATGTGGGCTTTTTTTATTTTATTTTTAGCTTCATGAAATTTTCATTGCATCTGTTGCTTCGTTGGAGCTGCGCTGAATCCAGACCAGATTATAACCGATGAAACTTCACTGCAGGAGCATCTTTAGCAGCGCCGAACAGAGACGGTATGTTGGTAATAGTCTTTGGTCGTATGCAGACCTATGGAGAGTTAAAACACTTATATGCTTCTATTGTAAAGGGAAACACCGTTTTTTTTTTTTTTTTTTTTTTTTTACATTGGTCCCTTGATTTTACGTTATTCCATCATGTTTTACTCACCCATAAGAGTTTTGTGTCATTTGGAGCCGTTCTGAAGATATTCCGTTAAGCAACGTCTTCCTATGGGCAACTAGCCTGGTGAGACCATCCTGATCTCGCGAGCTTTCAAGGTTTCACTCGCAGATCAGTCTGGAGACTCTCCGTT